CCCACAAAACACCACAAGGCATGACTGTAACGTTTTCATAGCGGTTGTTAAAAAGTCAAAAGTCACCAGATCAAGAGTGAAATATCCAGATAAACCTTTAGAGGCAGCAGATTTAATTATGGATGGCCCCAGCAGGAATTGAATCCACGACCCTTGGCTTTGCAAGTGCTATGCTCTACCGACTGAGCCACAAGACCAAACGTCTGTTCATTGTTATTACACGTGCTGTTATGCTACAGTTATGCTTTGTGCATAGATATACCTAACAGAGACTGTTTCAGCACTTCAGTCGCTTAACTCTTAATTAGATACACCTAACAGAGACTGTTTCAGCCCTTTAGTCACTTGAGGAGATTCACATCACACCTCACAATTACTGAGCTCATCTGTTGGAAGCAGTTTGAAGGGTCAGTTTATGCAAAGGGGGATCTGAGTGGGGCACTCCAGATCTGGGTAAGGGTTCTGGGGTCTGCCAAGTAACAGAGGCTGAGAGGACGTCCCTCCTCCCTTATTCCTCTCATCAATCACACAGCGAGACACACTGGACCCAGAAGGACAGCGATTGGCAATTCCAGTCCTCGGGGGCTGGAGTGGTGTTACACTTTTTCCCCATCCCAGCTGATTAATCTAATTTCATCCTAAACTGAAGATCATAATCAGTTGATTATTGGAGTCAGGTGTGTTAGCTGGGTCTGGGGCAAATGTGTCATGCTCAGAGGAAACAACATTCTCTGCGTGACTGCAATTAGATGTAACTGAATCTGAATACATCATAATCACAAGACGCTTGTCAATGAAACACAGTCTTCGTGGCCTTTATGATGCCCACATGCGATGGGATGGCACGTAGGACAGTATAACTCAACTATAGATGCAGCAGAGAATAAAGTGTCAAAATCAGAGATGGTCTATAACAGTGGTTCTCAACTCTAGTCCTCGAATACCCCCAACAGTACACATTTTTATTATAGTCCCAGACAAGTACACCTGATTCAACTTGTCAAGTAATCATCAGGCCCTCAATGAGTTGAATCACGTATGTTTGTCCGCAGCTACAACATAAATGGGTGCTGTTGGGGGTACTGGAGGACCGGAGTTGGGAACCACTGGTCTATAATGTTGTCTCTTAGTGATGGCTTAGCTGAAATGCGCCAGACCTATTCTGAGGTGCTTATTAAACACGAGTTGTCTATATCCCATTGCCTGTAGGAACATAAAGTCCTGCTAATGCACCTCATCATCAGGTTCTTCTGGGTTCAGTTTTAATTGGTGGTGCGCTCCTCTGCACAGAAATGTCACACCGTGCACCTGAATAGCACAAATTAGCAATGTGCTAGACGGGCACGATGGCCGCAGATTGGTTAAAGGGGGAAGGCGATGCCGTAAATAATTGTATTTGCCAGCAGTAAATCACTTGGAACTGGCCGCTGCCCAACAGGCACTACGTAGCCTAGTTATTAGCATTGCATATCATCCATTTATAAAGCTTTAGCTCAGGCACTTTTAGCTTAAGGGTCACATTGAAGGGATTGGATTGTTCTGACTGTAGCATTGTGGGATTCCTCCCAGTCTCAGCAGTGACCTCCTTCACTCTTGGGAGCGAGAGGAGTCTTAAGCAGCATCCCAAATAGCACCCTATTCCTTAAATAGTGTACTACTTTTGACCAGAACCCTGTGGGCCCTGGTCAAAAGTAATACACTGTATGCAAAAGGCTGCCATTTGGTACGTTGTCTTAGAGTGATGGCCACTAGCCTATACCCACACCACATCCCTGCATCGGGACCTGGGTCTAAAAATAAGAGGAGTCCTAAAAAAGATTTATGTCCTAAGCACTCATGATGGGCACTTGAGAGACATGGTGTCAGAGAGAGAGAGCGTGAGCTAAATGAACTCCTGGTGAGTGAGAGAGGGAGAGAGAGCATATGGTTGTCACGGTCGTGTGAAGGAATTGACCAAGGCGCAGCGTGTGAAACGAACATGGTACTTTATTTAGTCAAAGCACGGAAAAACAAGAAACACGACTAGTGAAGTCCACAGTCAACCTGACTGAAACGGAAACACAAACCCACAACCCCACAGGAAAACATACAGAAATAAATATGGCTCCCAATCAGAGATAACGAGCCGAACAGCTGACACTCGTTACCTCCGATTGGGAGTCATTGAACAAACCTAGAAAAACAACAACCTAGACACCCAACATAGAACACAAACACATAGACTGCACACACCCTGGATAAACAATAATGAGTCCCAACACCAGGGTGTGACAGTACCCCCCCCTAAAGGCGCGCACTCCGGGCGCACCAGCATACAGTCTCGGGGAGGGTCTGGGTGGGCGTCTGTCCACGGTGGTGGTTCTGGCTCCGGCCTAGACCACCACCCCACCATAGTCACTTCCCGCTTATGTAGCCTCCTCCAAATGACCCCCACCGGTTTAAGGGGCAGCACCTGACTAAGGGGCAGTACCGGACTAAGGACCAGCACCGGGATAAGGGGCAGCACCGGGCTAAGGGGCATCACCGGGCTAAGGGGCAGCACCGGGCTAACGACCAGCACCGGGATAAGGACCAGCACCAGGCTAAGGAACAGTACCTGACTAAGTGGCAGCACCGGACTGAGGGGCAGCTCCGGACTGAATGGCGGATCCTGGCTGGCCGGCTCGGGCGGATCCTGCTGCTCATGGCTGGCTGACGGATCTGGCTGCTCATGGCAGGCGGAAGGCTCTGGCTGATCCCGTCTGGCGGAAGGCTCTGGCTGATCCGGTCTGACGGAAGGCTCTGGCTGCTCCTGTCTGGCGGAAGGCTCTGGCTGATCCTGTCTGACAGAAGGCTCTGGCTGATCCTGTCTGGCGGAAGGCTCTGGCTTATCCTGTCTGGCGGAAGGCTCTGGCTGATCCTGTCTGGCGGAAGGCTCTGGCTGATCCTGTCTGGCGGAGAGCTCTAGCGGCTCCGATCTGGCGGACGGCTCTGAAGGCTCATGGCAGACGGGCGGCTTTGTAGGCTCTGTACAGACGGGTAGTTCAGACGGCGTTGGGCAGACGGACAGTTCAGACGGCGTTGGGCCGACAGGCAGTTCAGGCGCCGTTGGGCAGACGGGCAGTTCAAACGGCGTTGGGCAGACGGGCAGTTCAGACGGCGTTGGACAGACGGGCAGTTCAGACCCCGTTGGGCAGACGGACAGTTCAGGCCCCGTTGGGCAGACGGCAGACTCTGGCCGTCTGAGGCGCACCGTAGACTTAGTGCGGGTGGCCGGAACAGGCCGGGTCGGGCTGGCGACGCGCACCGTAGTCTTGGTGCGGGTGGCCGGAACAGGCCGGACCGGGCTGGCGACGCGCACCCTAGTCTTGGTGCGGGTGGCAGGAGCAGGCCGGGTCGGGCTGGCGACGCGCACCGTAGTCTTGGTGCGGGTGGCCGGAACAGGCCGGACCGGGCTGGCGACGCGCACCGTAGTCTTGGTGCGGGTGGCAGGAGCAGGCCGGGTCGGGCTGGCGACGCGCACCGTAGTCTTGGTGCGGGTGGCCGGAACAGGCCGGACCGGGCTGGCGACGCGCACCGTAGTCTTGGTGCGGGTGGCCGGAACAGGCCGGACCGGGCTGGCGACGCGCACCGTAGTCTTGGTGCGGGTGGCAGGAACAGGCCGGACCGGGCTGTGGAGACGGATAGGAGGCCTGGAGCGAACAGCGGACACCACCCGTCCTGGCTGAATGCCTACCCTCACACACTCTGTGTGAGGCATCAGCACAGGACGTACAGGGCGGTGTACCCCTGGCCTGGTGGCCTCCTGGATACTCCCCCTTTTCTCCTCCGTCAGCCCCGTCGTCCATGCCGTGTGCCCCCCCCTAAAAATTTTCTGGGGTTGACACACGACCCTCTGACGATGAACCTGCTGCCGCCGATGCTCCTCTCTCGCCAGGGCCTTGATCCTTCCCCAAGGTCCCTTGCCTCCGAGCATGTCCTCCCAGGACCACGATGTGCCCACCTGGGCCATCGCCAGCCTCTCCATCTCTTTGCCCGGCGCCTCCTCCCATGTCCAGTCACCTTGCTCCTGGACACGCTGCTTGGTCTTTCTTTGGTGGGTTTTTCTGTCACGGTCGTGTGAAGGAATTGACCAAGGCGCAGCGTGTGAAACGAACATGGTACTTTATTTAGTCAAAGCACGGAAAAACAAGAAACACGACTAGTGAAGTCCACAGTCAACCTGACTGAAACGGAAACACAAACCCACAACCCCACAGGAAAACATACAGAAATAAATATGGCTCCCAATCAGAGATAACGAGCCGAACAGCTGACACTCGTTACCTCCGATTGGGAGTCATTGAACAAACCTAGAAAAACAACAACCTAGACACCCAACATAGAACACAAACACATAGACTGCACACACCCTGGATAAACAATAATGAGTCCCAACACCAGGGTGTGACAATGGTTTAGTTGGTGGATTGTTTTTTAAGTCTCCTCCTTACTACTGGTTTTCTGCAGCCAAGTCAGCACTTAAACGCTAAATTACATTTTAATTTCTATAGTGCTACATTCTCTCATTGAATCTCCATTCTGCATTTGTATTGCCCAGTAATTTGCATAGAGCTGCTGATGGCTCAGCCACTCTGCGGTGTTTGAGGGCGTGGAACGGAACGGCTGGCGACGCTCTGAATTTACACCCCAGACTACTGCGTGCCGCTCAAAGTCATGAAGCCTACCCCTGTCATGCATTACTGCCACACCGCAAAGTGGGGTCGGGGTGGGGGACCAACGGGGCAGTTCAGGGGTGTTACATTGAGTGATTCATCCAATCCCCTTGGGTGCAATAGAAACAGTAGCAGTCGTCTAGGCAACAGTGTGGGCATATTGAGTTAATCTACTGAGGAGTGTTCATGATGTGCAAACAAAGCTACATTTCCCTGTTGATTGTGTTGTTACTTGGTATAACTATGTGCTGTTGTATTGTCAGAGTTGATAGGAGTTGACCTTAACCGCTGGTCCCAGGGTCAGATATGTTCTATCCTAATGAGGATTTGGGCTCAGGACATCTGATTCTAGGTCTGTGTTTAGGGGCCAGTTCAACCTCAAGGTTAGGTGCCAGTTCAACCTCAATGTTAGGGGCCAGTTCAACCTCAAGGTGGCTTGCTGAGATACCTCTCTAGCACAGTGGTTTTCAAAGCACTCCTCTGGTACCCCCAGTAGTTTCACAATTTAGTTGTAGCCTTGAAATTGCTCACCTGATTCACCTATTCAAAGGCTTGATAATTAAATAGTTGACAAGTTGAATCAGCTATGTTAGCTCTGGAATACTATAAGGTGAATGCACCAATTTGTAAGTCGCTCTGGATAAGAGCGTCTGCTAAATGACGTAAATGTAAATGTAAATACATCAAACACATGGAACGGCTGGGGGTCCCGAGGAGAGATTTGCTCTAGCATGGAAGTCTGACTTCTGAGTTCAGTTGGCTGGATGCTCTCCAGTCCACCACCTGCTCTTAATTAGTCCTACGCTACTGTAGTGCTGTATTACACATTGACGATATCGCATCCCAGCCTGGAAGCCAATCCATTATGCAGCACTGTTAACACCCAGGCTGTCTTCCCCTCGCTGCCATGACTGCTGATGATGCAAACCCCATGGGGAGAAGTGAAAAACACCCCACACCGCTCTGTTTGTCCCACCGTGGCACCCGTATCATTTTCATCCTGTCTGCACCAAATCAATACAGTGTCTCCTCTCATCGTTCCGAGGTTGATTTGAAACCCCTGCCCACGTATCTTCCCAACCCGACTCCCCCCTACTCGCCCCACCTTGGAAGAAAGCGCTACCTTGTAGTACTTCCCCCTATCTGCCATATTAATGTGTCCCTAGCATCTAGGGTAGGCTTACGGCAGCAACGACAACCACACACCATACAGCAGCAGTAGTAGCTGGAGGTCTGTAATCTGAGGACGCGGGCGGCTGATATAAGAGAGTGTTGGGTCTACGGAACAAGATGGGCAGTGAGATTATACTGTTGGGGATATTCTGATAGCAAGAGCACATGGTCATCTTATTTAGTCGAGACTGGCGAAATAGAGATATGCTATTTTCTCTGTGTGGTCAGTTGTGAGGTTTGATTATCAATTTGATATGAAGTCTTAAATTGTTATATAAATTGACTTTGCCACAGAAATAGACTGGACATTTAAAAAAATGGTAGGCCTCTATTTGATTTGAAAGCGTAGTCACACAGACACAGTTTATGGAAAGGATTTACAGACATCTTCTCAATGTTTTTCCCCCAGAACAATAACCATATTATTACCTTTGAAAATAACATGTCACATGCATCACCATGATCATTATCACCATAATCCTCATCATCATCTTATTTTCCCTTAGCTGGGTGAAATAACTGAAAACACCCTCCACCGTCATGGACGGACAGTAGTCATTGGTTTGTCATCACATGCTCATGCAACATGCCTAGCAACGGCATCCATCTTGTCATTTTGTGATATGCTTGGTATTTATAGTACACATACAAGATGGCATACAGTGCATTCGGAAAGTATTCAGACCCCTTTTTCCACATTTTGTTACGTTACAGCCTTACTCTAAAATTAATTAAATTCAATTGTTTCCTTATCAGTTTACACACAACACCCCATAATGACAATGCGAAAACAGGTTTTTAGAAATGTTTGCTAATTTATTAAAAATAAAAAACATAAATACCTTCCATTGATCATCCTTGAGATGTTTCTACAACTTGATTGGAGTCCACCTGTGGTAAATTCAATTGATTGGACATGATTTGGAAAGGCACACACCTGTCTATATAAGGTCCCACAGTTGACAGTGCATGTCAGAGCAAAAACCAAGCCATGAGGTCGAAGGAATTGTCCGTAGAGCTCCGAGACAGGATTGTGTCATGGCACAGATCTGGGGAAGGGTACCAAAAAATGTCTGCTGCATTGAAGGTCCCCAAGAACACAGTGGCCTCCATCATTCTTAAATGGAAGAAGTTTGGAACCACCAAGACTCTTCCTAGAGCTGGTCACCCAGCCAAACTGAGCAATCGGGAGAGAAAAGCCTTGGTCAGGGAGGTGACCAAGAACCAGATGGTTACTCTGACAGAGCTCCAGAGTTCCTCTGTGGAGATGGGAGAACCTTCCAGAAGGACAACCATCTCTGCAGCACTCCACCAATCAGGCCTTTATGGTAGAGTGGCCAGACGGAAGCCACTCCTCAGTGAAAGGCACATGACTGCCCGCTTGGAGTTTGCCAAAAGGCACCTAAAGGACTCTCAGACCATGAGAAACAAGATTATCTGGTCTGATGAAACCAAGATTGAACTTTTTGGCCTGAATGCCGAGCGTAACCTCTGGAGGAAACCTGGCACCATCTCTACGGTGAAGGATGGTGGTGGCAGCATCATGCTGTGGAGATGTTTTTCAGCGGCAGGGACTGGGAGACTAGTCAGGATCGAGGGAAAGATTAAAAGAGCAAAGTACAGAGAGATCCTTGATGAAAACCTGCTCCAGAGCACTCAGGACTTCAGCCTGGGGTGAAGGTTCACCTTCCAACAGGACAATGACCCTAAGCACACAGACAAGACAATGCAGGAGTGGCTTCGGGACAAGTCTCTGAATGTCCTTGAGTGACCCAGCCAGAACCCGGACTTGAACCAGATCAAACATCTCTGGAGAGACCTGAAAATAGCTGCGAAGCGTCGCTCCCCATCCAACCTGACAGAGCTTGTTTTTGCTTTGACATTATGGGGTATTGTGTGTAGATTGATGAGGGGAAAAAACAATTTAATCAATTTTAGAATAAGGCTGTTATGTAACAAAATGTGGAAAAAGTCTAGGGGTCTGAATACTTTCCGAATACACTGTACGTAAATCTTGATTAGCTAATGCTGCTCGCCCATGATCCACTTATCTCCCTGCCTGTTTGCCAGCCGTCCCGTCCTGTCAACATTGTGAACACTTGTTTATCCATTCAGACAGGTGTTTGAATAATGTGCCTCTCTGTCCAATAAATAATGATTGTCGTGAGGCTGAGGGGTGAGGCAGGAGGCTAAGGGGTCAATTTAACTCTGCAAACAGGTGCAGTGGCGGGGGGTAGGGGCCTTGGGGCGAAGGGGGGAGACAACCCCCAAGCATGTGGTGAAACTTATACAGCGTTGTGGGTGGGGATGGAGAGAGAGAGAGAGAGAGAGAGAGAGAGAGAGAGAGAGAGAGAGAGAGAGAGAGAGAGAGAGAGAGAGAGAGAGAGAGAGAGAGAGAGAGAGAGAGAGAGAGAGAGAGAGGAAAAAAAAACATATATAATCTGACTCAGAGGTGAGGTGGAGTCCAAGGGTAGGGGTTGTGTGTATTTCATCCCCCGTACATGTCTCTAAACCTAGTATCGGCTGCCGGGGTACGTAACCTTGCTTCACCAGACATTGCCCACTGGTGCACTTTGGTGATGCAAACAGCAACCAGTTATGACAGTTATATGATTGAGAGGCAAGTCATTTGACCACCACCACCACCAAACCCCCTGAGAGAGATGTCTGCATAGCGCATACAGTACATAATGTTGTCAGATAGTTCATCCCCGTATCGATTACCAGGCCGGCATGGATGGATCGTGTTTCTGTGTCTTTTTTTAAATGTTTCTGGTATCGAATACAGTGCTTGGATCAGATGTCTGTGGCATGTTTAAATACTCTGGCTCTCATTCCTTCTCTCTCTCATCCTTCCTTCTCTCCATCATTCCCTCCGTCTCTCAAACATACAGCTTCTGTCTCTCATAAACACATGCACACACACACACAAAATGCACATTCTCTAGGACCTAGGCCTGTATCTCACAAACACACTATTTATCTTTCTCATACGTACACAGCCTCTGTCTATACCTCTCTCTCTCAGTGTGTGGATGACAGCAGTTTAATGTGACCCAGAGGGAATGGAGGCAGTAGCTGTTACAAGCGTGATAATTAGTCAGGTGACGAGCTAATGAGAGCGTCATGGGAGTTTTGGCCACAGACACACCGGAATGTCAATTCGATACAACTTTATTAATTCCCGACAGGAGAGATTTAAAAAATCAGTTTAGACATGTTTGCATTGTTAAGAGAATGACATAGTAGTGTTGAGGTTGATGCAGTCTCAAATCCTAATTTAGCCTCATCCTGAATTGATGTGCTGTGTTTGAAAAAAATTAATGTGTACGGTACATGATATGACACTAACATAACAGTAGGTATCTAATACAGAAGAATGTAACAACAGATTCCCATAACAAATGTCTAATATCACAATATTGACCAAATATGCAATCTGTCATAACTTCACAAAAAATTGCAAATAGGAGCACTAAATAACTCTGATTTATGCTGGTACTGTGGTGAAACGTTGTTTGTAGTTTAAATAAATTATATAGTGATGAATAAACTATAATTTACACATTTGTATAGAAAATAAGATACTGTATGTGTGATGGTGGATATATATATATATTTTTTTTTTTGCAGAAAAAACGCAATAGATTGGATTCAATGCCTTCGATATTACTATTGGTTCTGCTCTCGATTAGTCAGCCTGTTTTCATTGTCGGGCTTTTTGCGCAGGCTGCCATATCCCTCATCACAGGCAAGAGAAGAGCCGATTTCTACAGATCCCACAAAGACAAACAAAGAACCACACCCGGTATTGTATGACAGGTAGCTATGTCTAAACAGATTATTTTCAAAAATATCAACTTCACGGATATCAATCACCGTTCATTCAGGGAGAAAATACCATGTATGCTTCCTTGTTCTGCTGGCATCGCGGCAAAAAACAAAATGGCTTTTGCAATGCAGCTAGTTAGCTAACCTAGGCCTGGAAAGCTGCATTTTGTCGTACACTGTACCTAGTCAATGTGAAACGTTTATCCGCAAACGTAAGTTATAAAATGACAGGAATGTATTTGCACGAGTGCACAGCTGGTAGGTAACGTTACTAGCCAATATAATGGCGTTGCAGCAGTTTGCTTATAAGGTTAGCTAGTTAGTCTTCTTGTTAACTAGCTAAATAGCATTGTAGCTAACTGTCCTAATTTCAACTGGTCAGCGTCAGAGCGCATCAAGGCGTTTGTAATTAAGCTGCATTTGACATCTGGTGCAGTTTGTATATATATTGTATAGGCTAACTTTACAGTACAGTTAGAGAAAATCGTGTTATATTAGCGATCTAGCTCATATAATTAATAACCGGCCAGCTACAGATATGCATGTTGCTAGTAGCCGGATAATGGACTAAAGAGCCTACCGTTACTCCTTATAGTCCAAGGGCCTTAATACATGTTCTGTTTAGAGGCGAATTGGCTCTGGCAGCCAAATACTCCACATAAAGCTCTCTACTTTCATATCACATCAAAAGAATTTCACAAATGGAAAACATGCAGTTACTGTACACTGTTTTAAAGGTCGACTTTGGGCAAACATGACATTTTAGTCATTTAGCAGACGCTCTTATCCAGAGCGACTTACAGTTAGTGAGTGCATACATTTATTTTTTATTTTTTTCTCATACTGGCCCCCCGTGGGACTCGAACCCACAACCCTGGCGTTGCAAGCGCAATGCTCTACCCATAACGTATTTAAACTGTGTAACTGATCAATGCACCATCATACCAGGTCATTTAATGCTTAAAAACAAAATTGGATTAATAAGATATTTGACCAAAGTGCCATTTCTCCAAAAACAAATCCTGTGAAATGACGTCAACACATGGAGTTACTTGCTAGATAAAGTGGCTAGTTTAGCTAACGAACTAGCTATGTCGGTTTCGGTGCGCATGACCAGATTGACGGCACCATTTTCTTCTTCTGTTGCTTTTATGGCAGACTACATCCAAAAGTTGTATTGCCGCCACCAACTGGACGGTTTAGAATGACACATTGACTAACCACCAAAGGCACACCCCATTTCTGTTAGAAAATTGAGAAAGGGGCGGGGTTGGACTGTTTTTTTTTCTTTCTTGCCAAAGGTCGACCTTTAACCAGGTTTAACACAGTTGCAGCTGACAGTATTTTTCAGTGACAACACGTTTGTGGGGTCCATCTTCTGTTTACACCCAGGTGTTCGGAGACGCAGATAGCTAATTAGCACAGATAGTTGACTCTGCCGTTTTCCATAAACAAGCACTGTAACATGCAAATATGGCAGTGTGGGAAACCTAACCCTATAAAGGTGTGTAGTAATTTAACCTTTTAGTTTTTTTGAAAAGTATTTCTTGTTGATATGAAAGATACATTCCTTATGTTTCCAAAAATTTACTGCAAGTGATGCATGTTAAAGTTTAGAGAAAGCGTCTGGTCTCTTACAGCCAGAAGATATGATCATCCAGTGGAGGCTGGTGGGAGGAGCTATAGGAGGACGGGCTCATTGTAATGGCTGGAATTAAATTAATGGAACGTAGTCAAACGTGGTTTCCAGATGTTTGCGTTTGATACTGTTCCATTTATTCCATTCCAGCCTTTACAATGAGCCCGTCCTCCTATAGCTCCATCCTCCACTGCTGTCATCAATAGGCGTTAAATGTAGTTAGCTTCTATCAATGGGGTATGTTGCTAGTTACTGCTCCAGTTGTTGTCAATTGATCAGAATCCTATTGACAGTCAGTGCTCTAGCTATAAACTAGTCCTTTCTTATGCATAGAACTTCTGCTCTTCGAGGCTGATGTATGATGCCAACCCAGAGTAGCTGCTAACTAACCTATCCCTAATATCCACACAAGCTTGCTTGATCAGTAGACTGAATCTGTGCAGGATGCTGTTGGACCTCTCAATAGACTATCATATGAGTCTAATGGCAAAATGGGACGGACGTTTACTCATCGACTCCGTAAGGCGTGGGCGTGCTTCAGTTGGACTGGCACCTAGGCGAACCGAAGGAGTGTTGCTCGCATACTCCCTTAAAATACCGTTGCTTGAAAAATGAGAAAAAGGCAGCAATAGTACTTTGTCTGTTTTGAGACTCCGTAGCCAGTATACACTTCCTCAAAAGTCAGAATTAATCTAAGATAACTCAAGAAATCTGTCATTAATTTTGATGTTTTTGCCGAGGAGATCTTAGTCGCCCAATTTTACATCTAACTAAGATGTTTGGTGCCGTATTTGTCAATGAAAAAATGTGCATGACAATGAGTCGTCTCATTGAATGACAACAGACTTTTAAAAAAAATCCCTACTGTTGACCAGTCACAGATGAAAGGGGCGTAGACTTCGGCTGCCGACTTCGGCTTGCCTCGAGAAAAACAGTTGTGTGCCTGAACAGCTGAGGAAACCCTTATCGAAGTCCAAAACGAACAAAAATTTCACAAAATATCATAATACATGCACAAACTGTTCTGAACTGTTTTCGGCTGGGAAGCATGCAGACGCCTTTACGATTGAATCGCTCTGTCATCTGAAATCTGTGTAAAAATACTGCTGTTTGGGCGTCTATAGAATTTATGAATAATACTTTTTCCCATAATTTTCCTTGTTTCAGGTCAACATCATATCAAATTGTACATGTATTTGAATACAAGCAAGGAACCAGATTATGTAAAACATAACATAAGCAACCGAAAACAAAAGTGACATAGGGCTGGTCGGTATACCGTATTTTACAATGTACCGGTATTGATGCACGGACCGGTTTGGGTTTTTACTTTACCTTCTATAACGGTATTTGAATATTTGCTTCGTCAAATCTGATACGACATTTGTAACGTCCATTTTTATAGTTTACGCCGCTACTTGAATCATCTCTTTCCGCTCTGTCTCTATGCCGCTTTCCACACAGACCTAGCCCCGCCCCCTGTTACTCATGGAGCGCATTTGTTGTTCCTCCACCCATGGTAGACTTGTGTCAATGCAGCACATGCAGCAATGTTTTCACTTTGCTTCTTAATATCAATCCACAAGTGTTCTATAATTACACTATTAGTTTGTGTTTCTTACATCTGCAAATGGCTAGTTTGTCTTTTCGTAGCAAGTTGGGCCTAAATCGTGTTAGCCGCTAATGCTAATTGCCAGTTAGCTGGCTAGCTAGCTAATAAATGTACTGAGTCAGAGCAAGCGTAACTAGCTGTGCAGCCTGATAATACAAGTGATGGTGTAGACCTAAATCAGAATGTTTGTGCAACACTATCTTCTAAATTAAGGAGGGAGACGTGAAGCCTGAATATGTTAGCTACATGATGTAGGTAAGAGAACATTAAATGTACACAAAGATTATAGGGTCCCCTAGGAAACACTTATCAACTCTTTGGTTGCTACCCTGTCTCCTCCCTGGCATTTTTGTTCATTGTCATGTCAAACAACACTGTATTCAAAGTGTCCACTATTATATTCTAACTATAGAATTAGAATAATAATTTCCATGATGCCAACAGTTCACCCAAGTGATCGTTTGGTTTAGGTCCAGTCCCTTAAGAGGGCAAGGTAAATGCCAATAAATACACAGCCATACTGAGTGAGTGATCACCTTCAACCTATGGTGAAGAATTTCTATCCTGATGGGCGTGGTCTCTTCCAAGATGACAATGTCCCCATCCACAGGGCACGAGTGGTCACTAAATGGTTTGATGAATGGAAACGATGTAAACCATATGCTATATGCCACCACCACCATCAACAAAACACCAACTTATGGAATTTCCTGTGGAAGAATGGTGTTGCATCCTTCCAATAGAGTTCCAGACACTTGTAGAATCTATGCCAAGGCGCATTGAAGCTGTTCTGCGGCTCGTGGTGGTCCAACGCCCTATTAAGACACTTTATGTTGGCATTTACTTTATTTTGACAGTTACCTGTATATTAAATTTTTTACATTTTAGTCATTTAGCAGACGCTCTTATCCAGAGCGACTTACAGTTAGTGAGTGCATACATTTTTCATACTGGTCCCCCGTGGGAATCGAACCCACAACCCTGGCGTTGCAAGCGCCATGCTCTACCAACTGAGCCACAGGAGGCCTATTACATAACATTACATTTTTATTACATTAACAAAAATAAACATTCTTTCTTATTACCCATTACACTTCTCAGGGTATCTGGAGGATTAGGGGAAAGATAGCATATTTCCCCCGTCTTTGTTCTGAAATATGGAATTTGTTTTCTCCAGTGACAGCCTTTTCAATGTCTCATAATACCACTGATTTTTATAGTAGGTTTCTGGTCTTTTATCCAATTCAAAGCAATGCATTTGCAGGCCACAAAGGAGATATGTTTTTAGGAGATTGAGTTGTGCTAGGGTAAGTGAAGGCCTGTTTTCTGTGACACCTAATACAAGTAGCCACGGGTCCATCCTTATAGGACATCTAAACATGCCCTTCAGCTCAGTTTAGACATTTTCCCAGAAAATTGTTAGTGTGGTGGGTAGGTCTAAAACAAGTGGCCTTGGGTACCTTTCATTGTTGTATTTACACATGTTATTATTTTATTGGCGTTTGTATCAAATTGGCGGTAAGTCTAATGGTGTTGATTAGTTACATAACATTGCTTTGCTTTTCCACCCTGCAAAAGAGCATGACTGCAAGACGTTTGAGAGAAGATGAAGATAATGGAATTTTCCCTCCCCTAACCACTCAATTTAAAAGGAAACAAACAGTGAAATCTTAGACATTTCTCATAGGGACCCCCTCCTGTAAGAAAATCTAAAAGAAGAAATAATTTAAAAAAACAAATCAAATATAAGGAGGCCCAGCATCTGTAATCCTGTTTCTGCTTTCCACCTCTCAGCTTTGCGTTGCTCACAGAAAGTCGATCCCAGCTCCTACCCTCTATCAGCTTGGGCAGAGGAGCAGCCAGCGCCTTCGGTACCATAGGCCGGGGAGCCCCTTTCCTCTTTGGACCGGCCGCGGCTATCCGTCTGGCACAGATCGAAGCCCAGCTAGCCCTGCACCAACTCAGCGTCATCGCCGCTGCCAGTAACCACGGCAACCAGCAACTGGCCCTGCTCAACATTCTCCAGCAAGCAGCTGCCAACAACATCGCTCAGCAGCGCACCCCCGTCATGTACCAGCCTCAGCAACCGGGGGCGCCCTTCAACAGGCCCAGGATCATGCCATACCAACAACCGGGCCGCTCTACGGACGGCAACAATATGGCCCAGATGAACAGCTACCAGGTGGGTCAGTTCCCGCCGCAAACACCGCTACCCGAGGAGCTGGAGTCGGCCATCTCTGTCCGCGTTCAGGGCGGGAGGGACGAGGACCACCGCCTACTCAACCAGAATACCCAGATCTCCCGGCAGCTCGGTGTAGACCTCCGCATGCACGGGGTCGGTCAGGGTGAGAGGTCAGAGACTGGCTATTCCAACAGCAACAACCTTGTCTCGCTTTCCTGCGATGACCAGCAGAGTCAGATGCAGGATGTGGACTGGTCCAACTACCAGACTCCCAGTAAACTCTTTGGTCTCAATCAGCAGCAGCACCTCCAGCAGTCCTCCCACTCTCATGCTAACCCTAACAGCGGGCATTCAGGAGGGGGCATGCAAAGCTGGAATGCTCCTGTTTCTGCACAGGGTCGTCCACAGGGCGGGGACATGCAGGGTCTGTACGTACCCGAGAGCGCAGGCAGTATCCTGGCCGGCTTCGGCTTGTCAAACGACGACCTGGAGGTTCTCAGCCACTACCCTGACGACCAGCTAACACCAGACACACTGCCCTTCATCCTACGTGACATACAGATACACAAAACAAACAGAAACACAGGCCCTCCTGCGTTCTCTCAAACTCTCCCTCCTATTCCTAACCTGCCACCACCGCCTCGTCTTTCTCCACATCAGCGGCATCCCGCGCCTTCATGTACGCCCGACATCCCGAGTTTTCTGAGTGTGACGCAAACGGCGGGTAAAGTTATCGACTACGGCCACGCGAGTAGGACGGCGGAGGAGGGCAGAGACCCTTACAAACGTGAGCTACTGCCTAAGGAGAGAGCGGCTAAACCAGAGTACAAGTCCACCAGCTCGTCTTTGAAACGTAAAGCTGAATCCCCAAGGCGGCACCACTCAAACGACGACTCCTCCGACTCAAAGAAAGACAAAGACTACAGGAGGCGTGCTCCAATCCCCGACGCTCACAAGCACAAACGAACGCCTGTCAGAGAGCCGCCATCGAGATCTCGGTCGGAGCGCGAAGGGTCCAGAACAAGGCCACAGTTTGAAGCCAGGAGTGAGTCGTCAAAATCAACCAGACCCTCCGGCGCCAAACGCAGCTCTAGTGCCCCCAAGATGCTCCCAACACCCACCATGATAAGTGATTTCTCGGCGGACCCTCCGAAGGTGTATCCCCACACCTGCTCCCTGTGCGACATGCAATGTGAACGGGCTAAGGTGAGTACCGTACCTAGCCAAGCAGAGATTTTGTTTTTGTTAAACGGATACTTCAGGATTTTGGCGATGAAGCCCTTTATCTACTTCCCCAGAGTCAGATGAACTCGTGGATACAATTTGTATATCTCTGCGTCCAGTTAGAAGGAAGTTGCTAACTAGCGTTAGTGTAATTGCTAACTAATGTTAGCGCAATGACTGGAATTCTTTGGCAACTGCTAGCATGCTAGTAGATACCTTAGACTTCCAGTTGTTGCACTAATGCTAGTTGGCTTTGGCTCGCAAAGCTACTTCTAACTTCCATCATACTGGATACAGAGATCTAAAAATGGTATCCATGAGTTGATCTGACTCTGGGGAAGTAGATAAAGGGCTTCATTGCCAAAATCCCGAAGAATCCCTTTACGCTTTTAAAGGCCCAATGCAGTTAAAGGAAAAATCCACTCAGACTATCTTTTGGTATTTTTATCATTAGTCCACTGTTGAAACAGTACCAAAATGTTTTGAATGTCAGCAGTCAAGTTTTCAAGATATTGGACTTTCAAGAAGCAAAGTGTCACGTGCCACATCGTCATGATGACGCAAAACCCTTCGCGACTGTATCAATAGTGGACTAAGAAAGGAAAAAAAGCAACTCGTTTTTGGGTGGATTTTTCCATTAAACACCATAACCACTTTTACATACACACCAGGCATAAAACATAGTGAAATACATCACAGAATATTGGATTCTACTTACAAAAACAGACATATTTTAAGCAATGGTTAAACAATTGTGATTCACATAAACAGTTTGTACATTGTACATTTGGTGAGCTTACGCCGATTAAAACACCTGGTTTTCTGAGCAATCTTTCAAATGATTAGGACATGTAAACACCTTAATCAGCATTCCAGCAGTGTGTTTGATCTGCAGTTGTGCTAGCATCAGGCGAGCAAGCCTCCCTCTTTAGCGAGAGTGAAGTGAGTTCGGAACAACAATGTTTGCGTCTTACAAGTAGTTTTCACATACAAACTTTCTATGTCCGAAATCAGAATCAAATATGCTTCCCAAAAATAACATGGTCGCTGTGGTAGAATGTATATTTTGATTCGCAATTTTCTGCATTTGTCAGCGTGGCATCAGGTAGCCTGATTCCAGATGTGTCCATGTAAACAGCATTATTACGGAAATCGTTCTTCTTGCAAAGCATGTAAATGTTTTATTAAACTATTATATTAATCTGACTAGCCACAATAATCGCATTATTGTGTGCATGTAATCGTACCCATTATTTTGTAAATCCATGTATGGTTGGTGTTACTTTTGAGTTGTTCAACTTCTTAATTTTTTTACTACAACAAAAAAAAACTAAAGGATAATTACAAATATAAAACATTTGCACCACAAAAAGTAGCCTAAGCCTAACCCATACTCGGCTGATGAAGAAGATGAAGATTGCAGAAGACATGGATATCTGCAAAAGCTGAATCGTATTTGTGGTGAAGAGGACTAACTTTGCCCAGTATTCGCTCTTCTGCAGTGTACCAAAACATTATCAATGCTGTTTATATACATTTTGTTTCTTTTACAGGTTGTTGCACAGCCAAAATGTATCTTTATTTCATACCTTCAAATTTTGAAACTTTCTTTAATACTTTGCCATTTGACTTGATGCCTCAAACATGATCAAGTAGTATCGATACATATCTTTTGATTAGCTTGTTGAGGAATGCGTTCAAGATATGGAAGACCTATACATGTCGACAAAACCCCTAAATATACATTCAGGAAATAACTCTCCCAATACATACATAAGCATAGGCACTATGGTGGTGTAAATGTGTTCATACCAATCACATCTCTGCTGGACTCTGGTAGATATCTAACCATGATTTCTTTATTTTCTTTTGTTTTTTTCCTCACAGGACTGGATCGATCACGTGAACACAGTCAACCACACAGCTAGCTGCAGAGATCTCCGCAACAAGTGAGTGGTTTAAAAAAGTATTGTTCAAACCATGCTGGCAGTTAAAATCCTTAAGTCTATTGACGCACCTGTGCATCAGTCTAAGTAACAAAACTAAAAAAATCCATCAAAATCCATCAGTTTAACTTAGAGATTGGCTGCGTCTCAATCCATCACATCCGTCTATGTCAGCCTTCCACATCTGCGGTGGAAGGTGGCAGAGCTACAGCGGTGTTTGTCAGACCATGAGACATCCTGAAAATCGGTCTTCTCACGTTGAGGTCTGTATCGTCCGAATGGTTTGAAAAGTGTAATGGGACTCGTCTGAAGTCAGTAACGTTGATGTGCCAACTACTGTCTGTAGCATCTGAACCATTTGAGCTAAAAGCTATGACCCCACTATGGAAAGGGGAGACTCACGAACACAATAGTGTTCTCCGTTTTGCTCTACGACCCCTAAAAAAAGGACTCTTCTGTAGGTAACCCATACAAATGAAGGAAGTATGGAGGTAGTTTTGTTCCAACAAAAATAAGGGGTTAAATGTGTCCAAAAAAATTAAATGTTCCTGAGCTTACTTATATCTGCTAGATATAGGACAGAAACTTCAGAACCTTATTCCTTATTATTATTATTATTATTACTGGCTTTTTTGCCATTTATGAATGTGTTATTCAATGCCTTTCTATGGGCTTTAGTAGTAAATGCCAAATTCAATATTTCATTAATTTTTTATAATTTTTTGGGGATACTTAAAGGGGTCCTAAACATTCTAAATCAAATAGCTAAATGATCCATGGTATGACCATCTTAAAACGATTCCATATGTTAGTGGCAGGTAGCTTAGTGGTTAAGAGCGTTGTGCCAGTAACCGAAAGGTCGCTGGTTCTACTCCCCAAGCCGACTAGGTGAAAAATCTGTCGATGTGCCCTTGAGCAAGGCACTTAACCCTGATTGCTCCTGTAAGTCGCTCTGGATAAGAGCTTCTGCTAAATGACCAATTTAATTTAATTAGCACCACACCCCAACGGCTTAGACTTCAAAAGTTAACTAACATGTTAAAACCAACAATAACACATGAATAATGTGTAGGATGATGTACTCATGTCTCTTCTTCCCCCCCCCCCCAAAGGTATCCAGACTGGAATCCAAATGCCCCAAGGTGAGAGATGTTTCTAAAATGTAGGACTACCTCTTTTTTTGCCCTGATTGTCCAATCGTACCATTTTGAGATTACAACTGTGCAACTGACAAACCTATCATTTTCCTCTGTTGGTGTTGTATGTCACTGGGACTTTGAGTCATGTATAATGTTCTATTGTTCTTCTGACTCTCTCCCCTTTGCCCGAAACCAGGAGGGACCCGTCTCCAGGTCAGGATGCCACCTGGCATCCCCTGGAACGCTCTCCCTCCCGCTCAGTCTCCCATTCCCTGTCCTGGTCCCCCACCCCTCCTCCAGACCGAAGCAGAAGGATCTCTCCGCCCACCCCCCATGGACACGCCCCACACACCTCTGGCCGGCACAGCCCCTCCCAGTCCCATCGGGGTTCCGCCTCCAGCGCACACAGACCGGAGAAGAGGACCAGCGAATCCTCAGGTAAGCCACTTGGCTAGATGCTAAACTGGGCTAGTGGTTGACACTATGTTTACCAGACCCAGATGAAGCGTGTTCCTGAAGTGCTAGTCTGTTGGCATTGTAATATATCTGCCTTGTGCTGCATTGTCATAACACAGACATCATCTGTTACCCCTACATCCAGGGATATCTACTGTACTACAGTTGAAGTCGGAAGTTTACATACACTTATGTTGGCGTCATTAAAACTTGTTTTTCAACCACTCCACAAATTTGTTGTTAACAACCTATAGTTTTGGCAAGTCGGTTAGGACATCTACTTTGTGCATGACACAAGTAATTTTTCAAACAATTGTTTACAGACAGATTATTTCACTTATAATTCACTGTATCACAATTCAAGTGGGTCAGAAGTTTACATACACTAATGTGACTGTGCCTTTAAACAGCTTGGAAAATTCCAGAAAATGATGTCATGGCTTTAGAAGCTTCTAATAGGCTAATTGACATAATCTGAGTCAATTGGAGGTGTACCTGTGGATGTATTTCAAGGCCTACCTTCAAACGCAGTGCCTCTTTGCTTGACATCATGGGAAAATCAAAAGAAATCAGCCAAGACCTCAGAAAAAAAGTCTGGTTCATCATTGGGAGCAATTTCCAAACGGCTGAAGGTACCACGTTCATCTGTACAAACAATTTTACATTTTAGTCATTTAGCAGACGCTCTTATCCAGAGCGACTTACAGTTAGTGAGTGCATACATTTTTTATATTTTTTTCATACTGGAATCGAACCCACAACCCTGGCGTTGCAAATGCCATGCTCTACCAACTGAGCTACATCCCTGTCGGCCATTCCCTCCCCTACCCTGGACAACGCTGGGCCAATTGTGCGCCGCCCCATGGGTCTCCCGGTCGCGGCCGGCTACGACAGAGCCTGGATTCGAACCAGGATCTCTAGTGGCACAGCTAGCACTGCGATGCAGTGCCTTAGACCACTGCGCCACTCGGGAGGACGCAGCCGCCATACCGCTCAGGAAGGAGACGCGTTCTGTCTCCTAGAGATGAATGTACTTTGGTGCGAAAAGTGCAAATCAATCCCAGAACAACAGCAAAGGTCCTTGTGAAGATGCTCGAGGAAACATGTACAAAAGTATCTATATCCACAGCAAAGCGTGTCCTATATCAACATAACCTGAAAGGCTGCTCAGCAAGGAAGAAGCCACTGCTTCAAAACCGGCATAAAAAAATCCTGACTACGGTTTGCAACTGCACATAGGGACAAAGATCACACTTTTTGGAGAAATGTCCTCTGGTCTGATGAAACAAAAATACAACTGTTTGGCCATAATGACCATCGTTATATTTGGAGGAAAAAGGGGGACGCTTGCAAGCCGAAGAACACCATCCCAACCGTGAAGCATGGGGGTGGCAGCATCATGCTGTGGGGGTGCTTTGCTGCAGGAGGGACTGGTGCACTTCACAAAATAGATGGCATCATGAGGAAGGAAAATTATGTGGATATATTGAAGCAACATCTCAAGACGTCAGTCAGTTGGTCGCAAATGGGTCTTCCAAATGGACAATGACCCCAAGCATACTTCCAAAGTTTTGGCAAAATGGCTTAAGGACAACAAAGTCAAGGTATTGGAGTGGCCGTCACAAAGGCCCTGACCTCAATCCTATTGAAAATGTGTGGGCAGAACTGAAAAAGCGTATGCGAGCAAGGAGGCCTTCAATCCTGACTCAGTTACACCAGCTCTGTCAGGATGAATGGGCCAAAATTCACCCAACTTATTGTGGGAAGCTTGTGGAAGGCTACCCAAAAGGTTTGACCCAAGTTTAAACAATTTAATAGCAATGCTACCAAATACTTATTGCGTGTATATAAACTTCTGACCCACTGGGAATGTGATGAAAGATTTAAAAGCTGAAATAAATCATTCTCTCTACTATTATTCTGACATGTCACATTCTTAAAATAAAGTGGTGATCCTCACTGACCTAAAACAGGGAATTTTTACTAGGATTAAATGTCAGGAATTGTGGAAAAACTGAGTTTAAATGTATTTGGCTAAGGTGTATATAAACATTTGAATTCAACTGTATATCTACATCATTATAACCCAGACATCGTCTGTTACCCCTACCTCCAGGGATATCTACTGGGAGCTCCTCTCGAGGCCTGAAGCGTTCCAGAAATGACACCGCCAAACTCGGTGGCCACGGCAACAGAGCTGGGGTTTCTGGGAACCGTGAGTCCTCCTTGTCATCCGCCAGCAAGTTTCCGGCGTCCATGTCTGAGAAGCCACATCGTCCACCTTCCTCTGCATCCTCTTCTTCTTCTAAGCCCGGTGCCAAGCCAGTGGCTGGGAAGGAGACCACCCCAGGACAGGACTCAGAGGTGTGCCCCTCGCAGAGCTTTTGGTTCTATCTGTTGTTTGCTATGCACAGTGTCATTGGGGCTCTTAAGGTTAACTACATTATCAGTAATAATTACTTTCAGTAGTAATATCAGTAGGGAAATATGACAAATTGAAGTGCAACTAACTTATATGGATAGCAGCTTCTTCACACGCCTATCCAACCCAAGCAGTACCTGTAAACCTTCCTTCCTTGATTTTTTGGTCCAGTCTTCCAACGCACCACAGAAGAAGCCGAATCCAACACTGCAGAAGAAGAGTCATCCAGGTTCCTACCTGCTCTATCTGACGGGCCTCCCTGCAGATGCCAAGTACCAGGAAGTGGTATCACTGGTGCAGGCCTTCGGCAAGGTCACCAACGTCCTCATCATCAGGAACGAGGAGGAGAACCAGCCGCAGTACGCCAAAGTGAGTATAGATAACTGTGTATGAGTGTGTCACGTTAGGCATCATACCCTTTTAATGCTAAGTGTGCTGTCTTTTTGATAAATATGAATACATCTTGTTTAACCCCCTAATCTATTTTCCGCTGCCCTGCATAGTAAATAAAAAATCCCCATCAAATTACGTTAGTTTAAGCATTGTTGTGGATTTAACATCCAATTTAGTTGTTTTCCTGTTATAAAAGTGTGATTTTTGAGAGCGAAAACCAGAAAAAATTGGGGGAAAACGGAAATCTAAAAAAAATAAACGGAGCAAACAGAATTTTGGGAAAAACTGAATCGGGGAATATTTTTTGGGCTCTATAAATAGGCTGAAGCATTCTATTCTATTGGGCTAGATCCCTGATGTGATCTTTTAACTAGTTAGCTTCCTATTGATGAATTCTATGTTCCAAAAAACTTGCAATAACACAGTGAAATAATGTAGGCCTACCTTTTAGTTTAACTTTGGGTAAACTGACACCCAGGGTGTACTTCTCACAGAAACCAATCATGTCACCATTTTTACCCCCAACACTTTCCCTGGTGGCCACTACTCTTGCTCAACGAAGAATGTCATCCCTCGGGGGGGTGAATGAATTTGAAGTAGTGTGGCATTTTAACCCAAGTTACCCTACAATTGACCTGTGTTACATTTAGCCCCACTCTCCCCTATGAACTCAAGGCACTGCTAAAAACTCCAGGTTTAAAATGGTGCAGCTCGCACATATTTAGGTGTTGACAAATATATAAAGTAGGAATGGGAAGATGGGATCCCCTCTTTTTAACAAAGGCCGTTCAAACTGCTGTTTTCCCCACGATTGCATTAAGAGTTGTTGCTCATAACTTGCATGTGCCTCGAGTTCGACATTTCGAATAATTCTCTGGCATAGAACCCACAACAAGCCGACTAGGTAACTATTCCACTGTGGGGTATTCTGGTTCTTCTATTCATTACTCGTTTTGTTTGCAGAAGGAAAGTAAATGTGGACTGTTCTGGGGCGGCAGGTAGCTTAGTGGTTAAGAGCGTTGTGCCAGTAACCGAAGGTCGCTGGTTCTAATCCCTGAGCCGACTAGGTGAAAAATCGGTTGATGTGCCCTCGAGCAAGGCACTTAACCCTAATTGCTCCTGTAAGTCGCTCTGTATAAGAGTGTTTGCTAATGACTAAAATGTTAAAATGTTCTAGCATCATCAAAGTGCGCCAGGCAGAAATATATTTTTTAAATCTTCCAAATGCTTTTGTCGCGATGGCACTGATTTTGCCGTGGCACAGCGCCACATATAAATGACTGCAGCGGAAACACTGATACACTATATATACAAAAGAATGTGGGCACCCTTTCAAATTAGTGGATTTGGCTATTTCAGCCACACCATAGGAAACATTGGCAGTTGAATGGCCTTACTGAAGAGCTCTGTGACTTTCAATGTGGCACCGTCATAGGATGCCACCTTTCCAACAAGTCAGTGCGTCAAAATGCAACAGCTCAGCCGCAAAGCACGTAGCGCGTAAAAATTGTCTGTCCTCGGTTGTAAAACAAGTTTCAAACTGCCTCTGGAAGCAACGTCGGGAGCTTCATGAAATGGGGTTCCATGGTCGAGCAGCCGCACACAAGCGGATGCCAGGAGAACGCTACCTGCCCCAATGCATAGAACCTGTTCTCAACTGGTTTACCTGGTTAAATAAAGGTGAAATAAAAATAAAAAATAAAAAAAATAGTGCCAACTGTAAAGTTTGGTGGATGAAGTATAATGGTCTGGGGCTGTTTTTCATGGTTCGGGCTATGACACTTAGTTCCAGTGAAAGGAAATCTTAATGCTACAGCATACAATGACATTCCAGACGATTCTGTGTTTCCAACTTTGTGGCAACAGTTTGGGGAAGGCCCTGTTTCAGCATGATAATGCTCCATACAGAAATGGTTTGTCGAGATCGGTGTAGAAGAACTTGACTGGCCTGCACAGAGCCCTGACCTCAACCCCATCGAACACCTTTGGGTTGAATTGGAACGCTGACTGCGAGCCAGGCCTAATCGCCCAACATCAGTGCCCGACCTCACTAATGCTCTTGTGGCTGAATGGAAGCAAGTCCCCGCAGCAATGTTCCAACATCTAGTGGAAAGCCTTCCCAGAAGAGTGGAGGCTGTTATAGCAGAAAAGGGGGGACCAACTCCATACTAATGCCCATGATTTTGGAATGAAATGTTCGACGAGCAGGTGTCCACATACTTTTAGTGTATGTGGTGTGGCTTGATAAATATGTAATATTTTAATATTGTTAAAAGGACTGGGTTTTGACAGGACTGAGAATTGCCAGGGACCTCACAATGCGATATTATCATGATACTTAGGCTCTGATACCATATGTATTGCGGTTCGATACTGTTATTTATATGTCTGCTGCAGAGGGACAAGAGTTTTGATCTGTCATGGAAATAAGTGCTAAAAACAAATTGGCTTCCCTATTTAAAAAGAAGATGGAGAACAAGCTATGAAGGAAGAATACTGGAGTTTTGGTGCAGGTACAGCCAACTAGCGCAAAAAAATAATATTGCGATATGGAACTGTATCATTCCTTCCCCATCACTACTTTTTGATCCGTCTGTCTAACCTCTGCCCTTCTCTGTTCCTCCAGGCCACTGTGTGCATGCAGAAAGAGCAGGACGCTAAAGCTCTGGCTGAGTGCCTCACTCTCAACATACGGGAACACCCCATCACTGTCTCTGACCAGGTTTGTCCCTCCCTGCTTACCGTACCAAAGCCACCTCAGCTTCCAGCTGGGTATCCATCCACTGAACTTCGTATCATAGAACTGGCTCATGTTTCCCTTGTAGTGAAGAAGCTAATAGAAAGAGAACAGAAAGATGAGAAAATGAGGTGTATAAAAATATAAATGTAAATATGTTTATTTCTTTGTTTTACAGAATGGTGAGGAGGATCTTACTTCCTCGATACCTGTCATTATAAAAGGGTAAGTATTATGCATTACCTGTATATACTAGGGTTGTCGTTGACCCCCTGAACTTTGCCACTCGTGTGTTGTTACGGAGGCAGTTATTCACACATTTCATTACTCTCCGTAGAGAAGTGGTCGGTGCCCCCAACGAGACCAACACGACCGTCAAAGGCCCAGGTAAAAATACATACAATTAATGTTATTTTAGTGTGAATCCCAAATGGCAGCCTATTCCAGTTATAGTGCACTACTTTTGACCAACGCCTATGTACCCTGCTCAAAAGTAGTGCACTAAATGTGGAATAGGGTGCCAGCCTTAAATGTCTAGATTAATATTCAACTAATTTGATAGACCTGATCAATAAGAGTTGTGGAATTGAACATTATTTTTATTTCTTCCCACAGAAACCAGCGTTGGTCAGAAGAATTTAAATGAGGTACTGTATTATTTGTCTCTGTCGCTTATTTGCCAGTATGTCTATTAATATTTTCTTATTAAGTATTCCAATGTTATATATCTACAAAAATACAAATAAGCTGATGGTTGTGAGCCTGGGTAGTGTTCCAGTTCATCTTTAACACTTTAAAACATTGGAGAACAGATTGCCAGTCAGCCAGCCAGCCAGCCAGCCAGCCAGTCAGCAGTGTCTGAGCTGTAAGATGAAATGGGTTTCCCAACAGATACACAGGGAGCAGGTGAAGAGGAAGAGGAAGAGGGGATGTAGAGCGGGACAGAGCCAGAGACTCAAAAGACTGCTGAGGGAAAACAAGGTGCAGAACTGAACTGATATCTCATAGGCCCAGGCAGGGGGTGCTACATTATGAACATTCAAATATAATTATATAATGTAGATTAGACTTGATTTAGCCCCGTCAGGACAGGTAGAATAGGAGATTGTCAGCTCTATTCATGATATCTCTGTATACAACGTTCTGACCGTTTTTAAAAAAATTTTACCTCACTGAATACGTGACTGTCTTTGTCTCCTGTGGTTTAACCTTTTAGAGGGGCATGGTCAAGATTACTGGACTTCCTGAAAGCGGCTGCTCCGAGATCGATATCGCCAAGCTGGCCCAGCCCTTCGGAACACCTGTCAAGATCCTCCTCATCACCACGCCCAGTGAGGTAGGCTGGCGACCCACAATACATCACTCACTGTCACATTGATTTTGCATTATGTGGCTTAGGGCAGTGTTTTCCAACCCTGGTCCTCCAGTACCACAACAGTACACATTTTTATTGTAACCCTGGACAAGCACACCTCATTCAACTTGTCAACTAATCATCAAGCCCTCAAAGAGCTGAATCAGGTGTGTTTGTCCAGGGCTACAACGAAAATGTGTACTGTTGGGGTTACTGGAGGACCGTGGTTGGGAAACACTGGCTTGGAGCACGATGCCAGTGACATCAGGTTGATTCCCACTGTCGTGACGTGATTACTTTAATGTATGACTGTTATTTATCGAATCGCCTAACTGTTTAATTGTCCCTCGATTAAATTAATCATGTAACAATTAACTCATTAGGAATTTGGGGCACCACGGAAGAAGTTGTTTAACGAGTTACAAACTCCCGAATTAAACTCTTAGAAGATATATATGTTATATCGATAACAGTCACTTATTAAATAATTACCTCTTATCAGTCTCATTCTGAACGTCGCATAATCCTTGAACCTGCAAGAACCCTAACCTTATCGATGAATCAGCAATACACAAATTGGCTTAATTATTTATTTACTAACTAAATAATAAAACAATACAACACACACACACAAGGTTATTGATTACTAACGTAATACAATGAAAACAGGTCCCTAGTGGACTGGACTAACAATAGCATGAATGCTTGGGTAGAAGGAGGGTCAGAGTGGAAGGGAGAGACAGAGATTCAAACTATCGTGGTTACTTTGGAAACAACACTCACGGAAATACAAATGTGTAAAATCCCACTAAGCGCACATTCAGATTAGAAATACAACATGTATTTACGTGTAGCTGTCCTCAATAGTTGAGTTGATGATGTAGGACTCTGGTTTGCCCACCAGAGATCCCAATGTCCTTGGTAGAGTTTCTGGTCGTAGTGGTGGTTAGATGGATACTTCAGCGCGTACCCTGTAGTTCGTAGAGTTGATCTGTTAGAATAGATACTTCAGATGTACCAGCGGTTGTCGGAGAGGGATTGTCCTTCCCAACTTGTCTTTAGTGAAAGTTCTCTAGACTACTATACATGCCAGCTGCAGACTGAGATGAAAAGGTCTAGTGCATTGTCTTCTTCACCTCGTGTAGAAGTTGAGAGTTTCAGAGTTTCTCCATTTCAAGCGTGTGGACTAAAGTCTCACGTTTTCTGGTCTAACCATTTTGTAACGTTTAGCTCACGCTTCACGTCTGCTGGTCTGTAGAGTTAATTTGTTTTTCAAGGCTTTTTATGCACTCGGGGTAAAAGGGGCATTCCATCATGTTTTTGCTCATCTGGGCGTGGCCACTGACTGAGAACAAATCAATATGGAAAACAATCATATCATCTAGAATGCTAAAATCACATTGTTATCTTCACAAAAGTATTATTATACTTAATCATTCATTTTATACAACAATTAGATGCAAACCTCATAACTGGCAAGTGTACACCCCCAGAGATACAGTTATGTTGTTCCACCGTCTTTAATGACATCACAACATAGTAACACATTTGACATGATTGTTCTTTAAGTCCCACATTCTTTGAAGTATGAATATTGTTTCATTATCCACTTTTGGATGTTGGAGTTTTGGCGGGAATAATCTCTGTGTTAACAAAGGGATCCTTTCTCCCAATACTTCATGGCAAGGAAGAGAAAGTCTGAACAGTATTTACGACTGGTCATAAAACTGGTCCCCAGGAGAGGGGGTGTTCAAACCTTTGCCATGCCGGCATCTTTGATCCTCAGTCATGACACTACAAAGGACTTGTTGTATACATTGGCACTGTTAATGTTCTGTCAGATGCTTTGGATAAAAGAGTCTGTTTAATGGCAATGTCATATGATTTTCACATTGATTTAAACAATATAGCTTGTATACCCAATGTGACTGACTGTTGGTGACCGTTTGTCTGTCTGTGGTCCTCCCCAGGCTCTGGTCACCATGCAGGATGTGGAGTCAGCCCAGGAGATGGTGAAGGTTTACAACAACATGCCTGTCTGCATCAACGACTCTGTTCTGAATATGAGCCTGCTGCCAAACCTCCAGGTGGACTTCAACAGACCAGTAAGATACTGTGGCTTGACTTACTTGGCTCATTCCTATTAGCTCCTAGTGGAGCACAGGGCCTCAAACGTGCATCTCCAGCAACCTGTTCTGGGCAGTTTTCTTGACTTAGTTTACAGGTGGTTGCTGCAGGGTACCGATAAATGTTTACTATGATAAGTGTTTATGCACAAACTTGTTTTGCACTGATCTAATTCAGTGATGACATAACTTTTCATTCCATTTATTACCACAGGTGGCACTTTTCCATTCATTGATGGGACCAAGGAATCCTGTTAGTGTGAGTATTTCACTGTGGGTTCAGGTCACCTAAAAGGCTCTTAATATTAACGTTGTTTCCACCCCAAGGAAAAGGTAGAAAACACAAACATCCCACCTGATTTAAGACCTAAGTGTTGAAACATTTAACCTAACGAAACTAATCACACCCAAGAGCATATATTATTGCAGTGTGTCCCTTTTAAAATGTCTAACAACTATTTATAAAGTTGAGCTTCTTGATAATAATTGCTAAAAGTAAAGTTGTTTGTAATTGATGAATAAATGTAAATGTTACCAATACGTCCTGCATAAGGCGGAGGTGGGAGGTGATGATGACTGGAACCGTCTCCTGGTTGTCAGTAACATTCCGGCCACGCCTTCCGGCCCAACAGAGATCCAGAAGCTGGTCCAGCGCTTCGGCACAGTCCAACAGACTCTGGCACTCAAGGACAAGGTGAGGGACCCGTGGGTGGGGAGGTGTGGGGTGTTCAAGTGTCTGTCAAGGAGAGGGACATCTTAGTGAGGAACGTCTGTTTTTGTGTTTGTGTGTGTTCAAGTGTCTTGTCTGCCCTGCCTACAGTAATTCCACACCATCCATCCAATCCTATTTTCTTTACCCCATGCAGATCATCTTTGAGATGGGAACAGCAGAAATGGCCCAGAGTGTCTTCAACCGCTTCCAGAAGTTTCCCTGCATTGTTCAGAACAACAAGCTCGCCTTCTCCTGGAAACCTGATCCCGAGACTGATCTACCTAAAGTCAACATCTCTGCCGGCTCAACAGCGCCAACTGGTGGCAAAGTCTCCCAGACTGAAGAGACTACTACACCCCCTGGTGGACAGGAGGACTCACTGTCTCAGTCAGGATTAAAGGTGGCGAAAGGAACAGGGGTCGATACTAACGTTAAAGGACAGGAGGTTCAGCCAGGTGATGAAGGGATGAAGGTTGAAGGAGAGGTTGAAGCCACAGAGAAGGAGTCTCCAGCATTAGGAGGAAAGGAGCAAGAGGATCAGCCTGATGTGGCTTCATTACAGCCAGCAGGAGTGAACCAGAGAGAGGATACAGAACCCAACACAGACCAACCTGGAGGTCAGGGTGGAGAGGTCGTCATGGAGAAAGTTGCAAACATTTCAACAACGGAGTCCGAAGAGACTGAAGAACCAGTCGCCTCGGATGCTACCGCCGCTCCTCAAGCTGCTAAACCAGAGACAGCCACCTCTGCCCCAGCCCCAAATGTGATGGCGGCGATCATAGAGGCCTTACGACAGGAGAGCAGGAACAGATCCTCTACCAAGGTTACCACTGACCAGGCTGCAGCTGAGAATCCTCCAGGTAAACAACCAACAGATAAGGAGACTCCAGATGTCCAGGCGGCGCCTGCTCTACCCAGAGTGACCCCTGAGATCCTGAAGGTACTGCTGGAGGAGTGCAGGGTCCGGTCCTCCAGTAGGGCCAACGCTGAGCAGGCCAGGAAGGAACAGGACCAGGCGCCCCCTGCAGACCAAAAGGCTGGAGGAGAACAGGTCACCAAGAGGAAGACCCGCGAGGAGGAAAGGGAGGAGAGAGAGAGAGCGAGGAGGGAGAGGGAGAAGAGGCTGAAGGCCCAAGAGGAGGAGAGGGAGCAAGGAAGGAGGGACAGGAAGTTAAAGGCCCAGGAAGAGGAGAGGGAGAAAGGAAGGAGGGAGAGAGAGAAGAGGCGCTCCCACAGGGAAGGGTCATCAGGATCACCGGGGTCCAGGTCCTCTATGAGGTACGAGGGGAGCCGGCGCAGGGGGAGGAGCGGCGCCAAGTCTGAGTCCAGGAGAGGAAACGGAGAGGACAAACAGCAGGTAGGAGAGGCGCTAGTGTGTTGGTATTCACTCTATATACACAGAGGACAAAGCATTAGGAACACCTGCACTTTCCATGACATAGACTGACCAGATGAAAGCTATGATCCCTTATTGATGTGACTTGTTAAATCAACTTCAATCAGTGTAGGTGAATGGGAGGAGACAGGTTAAATAAGGATTTTTAAGCCTTGAGACAATTGAGACATGGATTGTGTGTGTGTGCCATTCAGAGGGTGAATGGGCAAGTCAAGAAAGATTTAAGTGCCTTTGAACAGGGTATGGTAGTAGGTGCCAGGCGCACCGGTTTGTGTCAAACCCAGCAGCGTTGCAGTTATTTTCATGCTCAACATTTTCCCCGTGTGTATCAAGAATGGTCCACCACCCAAAGGACATCCAGCCAATTTGACACAGCTGTGGGAAGCATTGTTGTCAACATAGGTCAACACCTTGTAGAGTGTGGGGGGGGAACTCAATATTAGGAAGGTGAGACTGTTAGGCATACTCAGTGCATATATAGATAGATCTCCAGTGAACAGTGTCATATCTATACCCATCATGATTATAGAAGAATGCCAACATCAACTTTCCAACCATTTTGGGGAATGACTTGCCATTTTGAGGAAAACTGTGGTTTTAAAGTTAACTGTCCTCTTCCCTGTGTTCTTTCAGGAAGAGGAGGAGTTAGGTGAGAAGCACGTGCCCTTCGACATGGAGGACTTTGTGACTGTGGACGAGGTGGGGGAAGTAGCTGCGGTGCCCCATACGCCCCCCGAGACAACCACAGAGGTGACTGAGGTTACGGAGTTGACCGGCAACGACCCTGTGACCACACCAGCCTCTGAGGCAGAGCAGCAGTCACCAGCAGACACTACACCGATGGAGGTGGAGGGTGAGCCTGGGACAGCAAAGGTACAGGGGGAAGCGCTGGACAAACGAGGACAGAAGGAGGAGGAGGGGTTGGCCCCAGCAACCACAGAGGAGGGGTCGGTGAAGACTGCAGAGGGAACTGGGGAGGTGACAGAGGAGAAAGTTCCAGACTTTCAGGATGACATCATCAAAGAGGTCAGTGTGTCTTTAGTTGCATTCCTACTTACTTGAATAATCCCTTTCCTAAATGAAAGGCTTCAACACTATAACATTCAACAATGAGAAGATCAGTGATAAGGCTACTTCAACCGAGGAAGGAAAAAATGAAGTGTTTCATTACTCTCTCCTTCAGCCTGTGGTCACGGTGCCGAAGACAACCTGTGATAAGTTCACTGAGGAAGTCAGAGGTGAAAGGTCACGATGAGGCCACACCCACAGACGCACCTGCCGCCGCTGGAGAAGAGGAGGTGGAGGAAGAAAAGGAGGATGGAGGCGTGGAGGATTTCAACACGGGGAAGTTTCTGACGGTGGACGAGGTGGGCCAGGTGGAAGAGGACGGGAAGAAGAGGTCTGCTGAGACGGGTAAGAAACATACTGTATATCACTGCTATGGTCGTCTCTTGAAAGGCCATCATTGTAAATTAAAATCTGTTCTGCTGTGCTTGCTTGTATAAATAAATGTTTTGAAAAAGTTGTTGCGATATGGTAGGAAACCGGCCAGTAGAGGTAAGAAACAAACTTAATGTTGTAAAGTCAATCTGCAACATATTTGTCTGAGGAGACTGGGTTGTGTTCAGTAGCGAAAACCTTTTGAAATGGAAAACAAATGAGTGTTAAGTCCTGGTAGTCCCTACTTGATGCCCTTTATCGTGAGGTAACTAGCCTCTGATGGGTCCTTTATCCTGAGGTAACTAGCCTCTGACGGGTCCTTTATCCTGAGGTAACTAGCCTCTGATGGGTCCTTTATCCTGAGGTAACTAGCCTCTGATGGGTCCTTTATTCTGAGGTAACTAGCCTCTGATGTGCCCTTTATCCTGCGGTAACTAGCCTCTGATGGGTCCTTTATTCTGAGGTAACTAGCCTCTGATGGGTCCTTTATCCTGAGGTAACTAGCCTCTGATGGGTCCTTTATCCTGAGGTAACTAGCCTCTGATGGGTCATTTATTCTGAGGTAACTAGCCTCTGATGTGCCCTTTATCCTGAGGTAAGTAGCCTCTGATGGGTCCTTTATCCTGATGTAACTAGCCTCTGATGGGTCCTTTATCCTGAGGTAACTAGCCTCTGATGTGCCCTTTATCCTGCGGTAACTAGCCTCTGATGGGTCATTTATTCTGAGGTAACTAGCCTCTGATGTGCCCTTTATCCTGATGTAACTAGCCTCTGATGGGTCCTTTATCCTGCGGTAACTAGCCTCTGATGGGTCCTTCATTCTGAGGTAACTAGCCTTGCCACAGGAGGAAAAAGACAACAGGCTAACCAGCTCTAAGGTAGAATAGTGCTTGAGATATGGTAGATAGCACACTCTATATGCATAGTAGTGGTTGAGATGGCCATCCGCCTTTTGTTGATAAGTGGTCAATGAATGGTAACCTGGTTTACATAGATTAGTGGTTGTGGTCATTGTATATGAGTGGTTGTGGTGAGGTCAGATAACCAACTGTATCTAGATAACCGCTAGATATGGTAACCGCTAGATTGCTGGATCAAATCAAATTGTATTGTACTAGAAGGCTAGATGTTAAAATGTGGTATCTATGGTAACCACTAGATCAAATAAAATCAAAACTGTTTGTTGTAGGGGTGTAATGGTACACGCAATAGTACCGAACCGTTGTTATGGGGACCTCAGTTCGGTCCGCACTGTGAACCCGAATGAATAGATAAATAAATACAAATATATATATTTAAACGCCTGCGCTGTGTTGTCTGCCTCCTGAGCTGAAAGAAAACATTCAGGCTATTCCGTTAACACAAGCCTATGTGCACCTTGTAGTCAAAATGATTTGAATTGTCACATTTCAAACTGTCCTTTTGTGAGGCGCAGCCGGGAACTAGTTCTGTATGATGGCGAGTGGTGGGGTGGATAAACCAAGAGGATTCGCCATCAATATTTAAATCTCCAGTTTGGGAAATTGTTGGTTTCCCAGTAGATGACAGCGATGGACAAGAAAGTATGTCGCCACTGCTGAACCAGAATAGCCTATGCAGCTGCCAACACCTCAAAACATGTTGACACATTTACTCAGAAATCACACCAGTATTCCTACCATCGGAAATGAGGAGTACCGTGCTACAGACACGCCCCCTTTATGAGAGTCACACAAGTGTGCATATTTTCTCTATATTACAAAACATTATAGCATAGTCCTATGTCTGAGACGACATGTTTACATATTGATTTCACTAGTATATTGCACTTTATTTGAGTGTTGTCGAGTAATCGAAGTGTTATTCCTGATTGAGCGTTATGACTCATTTTACAACGGGTGGGTTTAGTCCTCAATGCTGGTTGGTTAAAAGCGCATTCCAGCCAGTGTCTATTCCACAAGTTACCACCGGCTAAATCTATGATGTTAAAATGCCTATTTACTCTGTTCCATCTGACTGCGCAATCCACTGTCTCATCAACCCAGCCAAGCAATTTATAAACTTGATCTCCACTATAAAAAGCATCTAGACCAGGGGTGTCAAACTCATTTTAGCTCAGGGGCCACATGGAGGAAAATCTATTCCCAAGTGGGCCGGACCGGAAAAATCATGGTGTATATATAACTTAAAAACAACAACTTCAGATTGTTTTCTTTGTTTTAATACGATCAACATACAACATAAAGCTGGAGCCTGAGGACAGTGTGTCCAAAATAGTACAAGCACAACATCACTATTAATCATAAAACACGTCAAGTTTATTTGAAAATTCTAAAGAAAAAGAACACAAACACACAATGCGTCAGTGATTAACAGAAGTATATCACAGATCACAGAACTATATCAGGGGGTCATTTCTCAGGCAGAAATGTAGATAAAAAGAATGAAATCCTGTTCCCCAAACAAGTGCAAGAACCACAGAGTCAAGAATAGGTTAAATATACAAATAAAATAAAATCAATTAAAAACAATGGCACATCAACATAAAAACATATAAACATAAAGCTGGAGCCTGAGGACAGTGTGTCCAGAAGCACAACATCACTATTAATCATAAAACACAAGTTATTTGAAAGTTCTGAGGACAAAGAACACACAAACACACAATGCCTCAGTGATTCACAGAAGTATATCAGGGTGTCTCAAGTAGCACTTTAAGTGGGGTTGCATAGTTTATTTGACTCCTGATACCTGGCATCTTTCAGCTTTCACCAGCGCATCAATATCAGGCGTCACATGCTGAGTGGCAGCCAACTTCAGGATGTGATTCAAGTGCTTGTGCGTGAGCCTTGAGCGCAGCTTTGTTTTATTTATGCTCATTACAGAGAGAACTTGCTCACAAAGATATGTGGTTCCAAACATGCACAACAGTTTTGCAGCGAGCGCTGTCAAGTTGGGGTAACCTGGCAAGAGATTCTGATAAAATGTGTCCAAGCCAGCTGCGGCAAATTTGCCCTTCAAATCCGAGTCACACTGCAAGTCTATTATTTCAAGTTGGATGCTGACAGGCAGATCAGAGGGATTCACGGTGAATGGCGAGCAAAAAAACGTTGAAGTCTTTCTCCAGTTCACCAAAAATCTGAATGCGTTGCTCAAACTCACGTAACAGTCCCGTTATTTTATCTTTGAACCGCTTCATGTCTGCCACATGTTGGGTCGCGCACACATTTTTCAGACAGGGGAAGTGAGCTGCATCACCACCGGCAAGTTGCGTCTCCCACAATGACAGCTTCAACTTGAAAGAACGTATGCTGTCATAATACTGCGTGACAACTTTGTTGCGCCCTTGTAGCTGTTTGTTCAAGTTATTCAGGTGCTCTGTAACATCCACCATAAATGCAAGGTCCTGCATCCATTCTGCGGAATGGAATTCTAACACTGTTCAATTTCTTCTCGTAAATCAAAGAAACGCCTCAGCACCTCGGCTTAACCATCTTACCTCAGTGTGGTATGGCAGGCCATAGATGTGGTCTTTCTCTCTGAGAAGGCTGTCAAACTGACGGTGATTCAGGCTTCTGGATCGGATGAAATTAACAGTTTGGATGACCACCTTCATGACGTTATCCATCTTTAATGACTTGCAACACAAAGCCTCCTGGTGCAAAATACAGTGAAAAGTCAAAAAATCACGTCCTCCATTTGCAGATTGCACTTTCTCTCTGAACTTTGTCACAACGCCTGCTTTTTTCCCGATCATTGAGGGCGCACCATCTGTAGCCAGGCTGACAGCGCGGGACCAGTCCACTCCGACCCTGTCCAGCGCGCCGACGAGTGCGGTAAAAATATCAGCTGCTGTCGTTGTATCTGTCATCGGCACCAACTCCACGAACTCCTCGGTGACGGTCAATGTGTCATCAACTCCGCGGATGAAAATGGCCAGTTGTGCAACATCTGTAATGTCCGTGCTTTCATCAATTGCAACCGAAAACGCAATAAATGACTTTACTTTTTGCTTCAACTGGCAGTCCAAATCCACTGAAATATTCGAAATCCTGTCTGCAACTGTGTTTCTTGTCAGGCTATTTACAAAAGCCTGGCGCTTTTCAGGGCACACAATCTCCGCTGCCTTCATCATGCATGTTTTTACAAATTCACCCTCACTAAATGGTTTTGAAGCCACTGCGATTTCATTAGCAATGAGGTAGCTAGCTTTCACTGCAGCGTCACTGATGTCTCGGCTGTGAGTAAACACAGACTTGACCTACTTGCTCTGCCCCGGTATAAACAGTTTGCTTGCTTAACACAATTGCTATTGCGCCATCCAGTGGACGCAATTGGAACAGCAGTTTATGTTATTGAAAAATTGCAGCGCATTTTTATACTTTACAAAATCATCTCGCGGGCCGGATTAAACCCGTTTGCGGGCCTGATCCGGCCCGCGGGCCGGACGTTTGACACCCCTGATCTAGACAGTATCTCATTTCTTTTAGACTAACATTTAGTTTTCAACAGCTGAGATTTGTATAAACCTTGCTGTCTGTCTCTCCGACATTTGCAACATTGTTTCAATATTCAAATTCGATCTCCAACTGTCCCATAGTAATGAACGTGTAGGGGTCGGGAGGAGACAGAGAGGCAGGCAGCGTTTCTCAGCCAGTCGAAATCATGAATCAGCTGGCTTCATTTTTATGGATATATACAAAGAAATGTCAATTGAGAAAAGTTAAAACGAAACGAAGTGCAGCTAGTTTGCAGTCTTTCCAGCTTCAGTTTGAAGTTATTGTGTTAGCTGTGTTGTTGGCTAGCTCCTCTGTCCAACAGTGTCCTGACGAGAGAGCACATTTTCTATGCCAGGTGAAATCACGCCTCATTAGCTCATTGTTATCAATGTATCCAAATAAATGTCACTAGAAAACAGCTTATGCAAATGCAGCTACTTAATGTAGCTGTTATTCTGGTTGCACTTTTTGACGTGGCTGTAATTTAGCCGTAGTTGGCTAGCTAGCAATCAAGGGATAAGAACGTTGCCAGCCAGTATGCAATGGAACATTTAGAACGAACGACTGGGTCACGTCCATAGATACAGAACAAAAAGACTGAACGACTGGGTCCCGTCTCTGGCAACCGAACCAATAGAACGAACAAACAGCCGGCTTGGGTATCAACCCTAGATTTGTGTCGGGACAATATCTTGTGGAAGGATGAAATAGTATGAATAAATTCATCAAAATAACGTTTTTAATAAATGTGTCAATCATTATTTGAATATGTTGGTAACCCGTTGTGTAAAAGTGATAATGCCCTAGAAGCCGGTGTTTGGAGGCCAATATATCCTCAACACCGGCTTCTCTGGCATTATCACTTAATTATCATATATGGAATCGGGAATATCAACACTGTATTTTCTTAAATAAACAAAAATTAACTACAGTAACGGTTGGCATTTAATTTTCCCACTGAACCGTGACCCCCAACACCGCAATACATATCTAACGACGGGTTTGGTGAACTGTTACAGTCCTAGTATGTAGCTCAATGGTAGATATTGTAACCACTAGACAGCTAGATGTTAAACTGTGGTAGCTGTGGTAACCACTAGATGGCTAGCTGTTAAACTATGGTAGAAGGAGAACTCAGCCAAATCAACGGTGGTAGCAAGCTCATGTTAACCTGGTTACCAGTCTGTTTGTGTTCTTATTCCACTCAATGCCACTCCTCGTCATGCCAAACATGGCATGATGGCACAAAATGCTGGGTTCTTTGAGAGGTTGTAGAAAATGATGGTTGGTTGACAACCTGAAACCACATTTGTTGGATTGTTTCTAAGGTGTCAGTGATTTTATTTGTGTGATTTAATGTTTTAAAGATCTTTCACACAAACCCACATACAAAGCCCTGACTTTTCAACAACAACAAAAAATCCTACCTTTTTGTAAGGACATTCTGGTGACTTGTCAAGTCTGGGAAAACCCACACACCAACAAACAGAACAGACACAGCTACGGTGTCAGTGATGACCCTGTTCCTTCCTCCATCTTCTCTTTCATCTCTCAGTGGAGTCGAAGCGAAGGAGGACATCTCAGGAGGAGAGAGAGGAGGAGGCAGCGAGGAGGAAGATGAAGATGGAACCCCTCTTTTCTAAAGACTACAGCATCCCTCCTTTCAACCCTGACAGCCCTGTCGGTGAGACTCAATTGATGCTGCTTTCGACATTCAACCAATTGTTGTAATTGATTAGGGTATTTTTTGATGATAAACTAGCTCATCTATTATCAGAATAGTGTCTTTGTGCTAGGTGTGGTGTGTGTATATGTTTACATAGGTCCCATAGTATAATCATGTCATTTGTATATTTGAAGCTGGTTTTGTTTCTGGTGTGTTTGATCACTATCAGGCATGGAGTTTCTGGTCCCCAAGTCAGGCTTCTTCTGCAAGGTGTGTTCTAAGTTTTACAGTGGAACTTACGAGGCCAAGAAGACCCACTGCAGGAGCCTCAAACACCATCAGAACCTGGAGGTGAGAACCCCAAACAACCAATCAGCCACAACACTGACAAATCAACCACCAATCAGCAAGAACATTTTGACAATCGGGTGGGTGGGGCCAATTCCATTTGGTAAAACAAATTGGAATTTCAGTTTGCTTCCTGAATTTAAATGTCGAACGTTTTTACCTTTTTGATTTTTATTGGATTCTACTTTACTGATTTTAGTTTTACGTGCTTGATTATTAATACATTGACACTCATGAGTGGAGAAGGAGATAAAGGAAGGTGTCCTGTCATGGAAAGCATCCCCAGACAGGCGAAAGATCAGCAGTAGTGGCTCTCTCTCTCTCGTGGAACCTTTATGTTCCACATAGGAATCAACAGGATCTAGAATTTCCGGTTTGCTTCCTGAATTGAAATGGAATTGCTAGTAAGTAAGCTACTCATGAGTTTGTTATTTTTGTCTTTTTATTATTTTTCAGAAATCCCTGGAGAAGTGGAGAGCGAAGAAAGACTGACTCTGCATGAGTTAAATATTGACTCGCTGACTGACTGCGTCCCAACCACTCACTGACTGATTCATTCCTGTCTATTAACTCTTTCCCCCTCTTTCCCCACTTCCTTGTTTTTGTGTTTCTTCCCCATGGGTCCAAACTCTCACTCTCTCTTTCTCTCTCATAACTGTTTCATTTTGTTAGTTATTTTCCCATTATATAGAAGAGAAGTGACTCAATAGAGAGAAATTAAAATAGAAACCAATGAAAAATAAAGTTTTATTCAATCGGTATGTCTCCGTTTTGTAATTGAAACCGTAATTTAATGTTTACCAGAGTTATCTTTTACCCTTATTCAATACAACTTTATTCATCCCCCCCAGGGGCAATTATGTCTATCTGCTTATGCAGCGTCCTTCTGATTTGAATACTGCTAGTTCAGCAGTGTGGTTTCCCCTGGGTGTCCATGCGCACCAAGGGAAATGTACTGATTTCCATGTTCAACTCATGCATGGACCATTAGCTTCCCCCCAGCCATAGCACTGCTAGCCACTGTGCTAAAACAGCTAACCTCCTGTTAACATGGAAAGTAAAAGGCTTGGCTTGAGTTAAGGGGTCTTGCTCTTTTATATACGGTAGCTATTTCAAATCTATACATTCCAATGACTCACTACTTCACTGCAACAGTTAATTTATGTAATAGGGAATTCTCAGTCAACATAACATTTTTTTTTTTATTGATAATACATTAGTAGCATTTCATAATAATATATTTAATCTATATAGCGCTTTTCAATACAAGATTCTCAACAACTCAATTTACCTGAATGATCCCTTGACCTCTGTGACACAGACTTTCAAATCACAGCTCCAAAAATTTGCATCAACAGCCTCAGCCGCTGGCCATGTTTGTTTCTCCCTGTAGCTCAGCCACTTTGACTGTCTAATGAGAACACATTTGGAGCAGGGCTGACCTAGGGGATGTCCTAAATGGCACCCTATTCACTATGTAGTGCACTACTTTTGACCAGGGCCCAAAGTGCTCTGGTTTAAAAACTGCACTGTATAGGGAATAGGGTGCCATTTAGGACTTCACTGCTTTTACCTTCAAACAAAGAACTAAACTAATTGTTTTTAACTACACTTGGAGTTTGAAGTTACCCCCTAAATAATGTAATAAATGAAATAATTGAGATATGCCTAACACATTTTCCACAGTGATCATGACTTTGCATAGTGCTCCATCATCCTGATGCTTCAGTCTGACACCACCTTGGTGTGTGTGTGGCCTGTGGCTCTAGAATCACAATCTCAGTCTATGAACCATTCACACAGAGACCAGAGAGAGTTTTCCATCCAGGTATATCATGTTGATTCTTTATGATAGTGGGTTTACATCAAATATAATGGTGGGGAAATGCATGTCATAAGTTAATGGCAATCTACTGAACTGTAATTGTGAATTACCTTTTACAATGCTTTTGTTATTTAATAATAATTTAAGTTTAGCTGTTTAAATGTAAACTGCAAAAAAAGAAACACCCCTTTTTCAGGACCCTGTCTTTCAAAGATAATTCGTAAAAATCCAAATAACTTCACAGGTCTGTTTACCATCCTTGTTCAATGAACCATAAACAATTAATGAACATGCACCTGTGGAACGGTCGTTAAGACACTAACAGCTTACAGACGGTAGGCAATTAAGGTCACAGTCAAGAAAACTTAGGACACTAAAGAGGCCTTTCTACTGACTCTGGAAAAACACCAAAAGAAAGATGCCAAGGGTCCCTGCTCATCTGTGTGAACGTGCCTTAGGCATGCTGCAAGGAGGCATGAGTACTGCAGATGTAGCCAGGGCAATAAATTGCAATGTCCGTACTGTGAGAAGCCTAAGACAGCGCTACAGGGAGATAGGATGGACAGCTGATCGCCCTCCATCAGTGCTCAGACTGTCCGCAATAGGCTGAGAGAGGATAGACTGAGGGCTTGTAGGCCTGTTGTAAGGCAGACTTCACCGGCAACAACGTCGCTGGACCAAACAGGACTGGCCAAAAGTGCTCTTCACTTATGAGTCGTGGTTTTGTCTCACCAGGGTTGATGGTGGATTTGCGTTTATTGTCGAAGGAATGAGCGTTACACCGAGGCCTGTACTCTGGAGCGGGATCGATTTGGAGGTGGAGGGTCCGTCATCGTCTGGGGTGGTGTGTCACAGCATCATCGGACTGAGCTTGATGTCATTGCAGGCAATCTCAACGCTGTGTGATACAGGGAAGACATCCTCCTCCCTCATGTGGTACCCTTCCTGCAGGCTCATCCTGACATGACCCTCCAGCATGACAATGCCACCAGCCATACTGCTCGTTCTGTGCGTGATTTCTTGCAAGACAGGAATGTCCGTGTTCTGCCATGGCCAGCGAAGAGCCCGGATCTCAATCCCATTGAGCACGTCTGGGACCTGTTGGATCGGAGGGTGAGGGCTAGGGCCATTCCCCGCCAGAAATGTCCGGGAACTTGCAGGTGCCTTGGTGGAAGAGTGGGGTAACATCTCACAGCAAGAACTGGCACATCTGGTGCAGTCCATGAGGAGGAGATGCACTGTAGTACTTAATGCAGCTGGTGGCCACACCAGATACTGACTGTTACTTTTGATTTTGACCCCCCCCCCCCCCCCCTTTGTTCAGGGACACATTATTCAATTTCTGTTAGTCACATCTCTGTGGAACTTGTTCAGTTTATGTCTCAGTTGTTGAAACATGTTATGTTCATACAAATATTTACACATGTTAAGTTTGCTGAAAATAAACGCAGTTTCTTTTTTTGCTGAGTTTATATCTTTCTTCCCCAATGTTCATTGAATTGCAGAAACCTTGTGCCTGTCACTACGGCTGCTGTTAGGTTCTCTACTCAAGGTACAGACGGACACCTGATAAAAGCTCAAAGTTGATTAAATCACCCAACTGGATGCTTCAGCTGAATAGCACAGTGATAGTCACACAGTAGTTTATCTAAAGTACATGGGGTAAAAGTCTCCGTAGGATGACCCAGGCTGGGCCAGATGGCTGTCTCGGTTCTCACTTCTACCTGCGTCCTGTTATTCTCACTCCACTCCCCCAACTCCCACGTTGAAAGCCATCTTCACTTCCCACAGAAACTAGACAGTTGGACAGTAACTCAACCTTATCATAACCCAGACAGGTGGTTTCTATTTATTTAACCCCAGACAGATGGCTCCTATCCAACACTTATGGAATCATTGTGGCACTCAGACATGCCCCTTCTGTACTTTTCCCTATGCCTAAATACAATTCACATGGATTTAACCTATCAGTAGTCATTCGGTTCAACCTAGTGACTACTGATACACTAATTATACAAGAAAAGGTGATCAGGTCATAACCGTCTCCAATAATACCAATCTCATTCTAGAGTCACAATCTGTCTATGAACCCTTCAAACAGAGACCAGAGTTTTCCATCCAGATTTGTCAACAAACATGAATTCAACGTGAAATCAACAAAAGGTCACCATGTCATTGGATTTAGGCTGGCTAAAAAAGTTGGCAAAAAAAAATATGTTGATGACTTTTAGCAAATCCACTAAGTTTTCGACATTGATTCAGCATCTAATTTATTTAGTGTTTTACCCCTTTTTTCATGATATTGGTAGTTAGTCTATTACCATCACTGTAACTCCCCTACGGACTTGGGATAGGCAAAGGTCGAGAGCCATGCGTCCTCCGAAACACAACCCTGCCAAGCCGCACTGCTTCTTGACACACTGCTCGCTTAACCCGGAAGCCAGCCGCACCAATGTGTCGGAGGAAACACCGTCCAGCTGGCGAACGAAGTCAGCTTGCAGGCTCCCGGCACGCCACAAGGAGTCCCTAGAGCATGATGGGCCAATTGGTCTTCTGGTCACGGCTGGCTGTGACGCAGCCTGGGATCGAACCCAGGTCTGTAGTGACGCCTCAAGCACTGCGATGCAGTGCCTTAGACCGCTGCGCCGTTCGGGAGGCCTACATTTGTTTTGTTGTTGCTTGAAATGACATTTTTTTTGCCCAGTGGGCATGTAGTGGTTGAATACATACTTGCCAAGGCTACTATTTAAACAGTGTGTGGAAGACATAACTATACTAATTTATATGTTGTGAATATATATGATTGGCAGATTTTGTATGGTTACGAAAGGCGGTTACACTAACACTGATTTGCCTATCCTTAACCTTTAAGCTAACATTAAACCCAAACCGTAGCCCTAAAGTTAACGCTAAACCCACCCCCCTAAACCTAACCTTAACCGTGAACTTAACACGTTTCCAATCCCCGTCTCTAATCATCTTCCTAAATTTAACATGGGTCCTGTGTGACTCAGTTGGTAGAGCATGGTGCTTGCAACGCCAGGGCTGTGGGTTTAATTGACCTGGCCTCTGTAAATTGGTATAGAATCAGCTTGAGCCCCTCTGTCGAAGACGCTTCGACTTTCTTTTTTGATGTTTTCAGTGGTATTGTTAACAAACACCCCCCCATAAAGAAAATCAGTTAAAAACAGGTTCAGCCCCTGGTTCGATCCGTGAAAAGCTCGGCACACGCTTACTCAGGCTGACTGGCAATCATTAGGGCAATTGAGAAATAAGTGCACTCAGGCTATCCGGAAGGCTAAAGCTAGTTACTTTAAGGAGCAGTTCTCTCTCTGTGGGTCTAACCCCAAGAAGTTCTGGAAAATGGTTTAACGACCTGGAGAATAAACCCTCCTCCTCACAGCTGCCCATGTCCATTAATGTTGATGATGTGGTTGTTGCTGACAAGGAGCACATGGCTGAGCTCTTTAATCACCACTTCATTAACTCAGGATTCCTATTTGACTCAGCCATGCTTCCCTGCCCATCCAACATTTCCTCATCTCCCAGTCCTTCTAATGTGACTAGCCCCGATGCTCCTCCCTCTTTTTCCCCTGCCGCGCTATAAAGTTTCTCCCTGCAGGCGGTCACTGAGTCCGAGGTGCTAAAGGAGCTCCTTAAACTTGACCCCAAAAAAACATCTGGGTCAGATGGTTTAGATCCTTTCTTCTTTAAGGTTGCTGCCCCTATCATCACCAAGCCTATCTCTGACCTTTTTAACCTGTCTCTCCTCTCTGGGGAGGTTCCCATTTGCTTGAAAGGCAGCCACGGTGCGTCCTTTATTTAAAGGGGGAGATCAAGCTGATCCTAACTGTTATAGGCAAATTTCAATTTTTCCCTGTTTATCAAAAGTGTTGGAAAAACTTGTCAATATTCAGCTGACTTCCCCTAAGGTTATGGATGTGTCACTGCAACCTTAAAGGTCCTAAATGATGTCACAATTGCCCTTGATTCAAAGCAACGTTTTGCTGCTATTTTTATTGACTTGGCCAAAGCTTTTGATACGGTAGACCATTCCATCCTTGTGGGCCAGCTAAGGAGTATTGGTGTCTCTGAGAGGTCTTTGGCCTGGTATGCTAACTACCTCTCTCAAAGAGTGCAGTGTATAAAGTCCGAACATCTGCTATCTCAGCCACTGTCTGTCACCAAGGGAGTACCCCAAGGCTCGATCCTAGTCCCCAAGCGCTTCTGAATTTACATCAACAATATAGCTCAGAAAGTAGGAAGCTCTCTCATCCATTTATATACAGATGATAGTCTTTTACTCAGCTGGCCCCTCCCCGGATTTTGTGTTAAACACTCTACAACAAAGCTTTCTTAGTGTCCAACACGCTTTCTTTGCCCTTTAAACTTGTTCTGAACACCTAAAAAAAAAAAAAAAAGGTAATTGGGTTTGGTAAGAAGAATGCCCCTCTCGCCACCGGTGTGATTACTACCTCTGAGGGTTTAGAGCTTGATGTAGTCACCTCATACAAGAACAAATGTTCACCATAAATGCACCTTTATAACCAAGGATTGTATCTTTCATCACATTTGCAGATTTAAACTCTCTACAATAAAGCTTTCTTAGTGTCCAACACGCTTTCTTTGCCCTTTAAACTTGTTCTGAACACCTCAAAAACAAAACAAAGGTAATTGGGTTTCCTAATGTGATGAGTAGATTGGATAGTCATAATTTAGGCTATTCATGAGCGTGTAGGGGGCGGCAGGTGGCTTAGTGGTTAAGAGCGTTGTGCTAGTAACCGAAAGGTCGCTGGTTCTAATCCCCGAGCCGACTAGGTGAAAAATCTGTCGATGTGCCCTTGAGCAAGGCACTTAACCCTAATTGCTCCTGTAAGTCGCTCTGGATAAGAGCGTCTGCTAAATGACTAAAAATGTAAATGTGTAGTGGCTATACGTTATCAGAGTCGTTTCTTTCCTTTGCACAGGAAAAGTGTGGCCTTCGATCAACATTTCATGCAATTCTATTAGACTATATATGACTGGAGACCTTAGCAGAATCATTTTTAATACGATGGTAGCCTAGGCCTACTCTGCTGACACTGACAACAGAGCAATTTCATAACCTTAACCTGCTGAATAAATTCTGCTAATCTGCTACGAAAAGTCAAATATTACGTTAATTTGACAAAAGCTTAATCCCTTCTAGCCATGACCATGAAAAGTGGAG